GAAATTAGACAAGGCTATCCATCTATATAAAATACAACAAAAATCTTCATGCAGCTTCAAATTAAGTGAAACAGGAAAAGCGAAATAACCTTTCCTTTTATTCATGACTGGCACTCATCCTCTATTTTTACTATTCAAAGAAACTGCACTTTACCATCTCAGCTACTAACATTTTAGTCTCTGTAATATTTTAAAGCTATTAATCAAATACAATAAATTTAAAAGTAGTATGAAATAATATTTAAATGTAAGTGAAACTATTTTTTTTACAGCTATGGTGCCCCTAAGTCAACAGGGCAACTCCACAGCAGACAAAAGTATATGACTCCAACTGCATTTCTCAAAAACATGGTTTGCATAGCAGAAATATGAAATACCTATTAAATTCCAAGCAAATCAATCCAACTTCGCTTATTCCTGTGTCCAGTGAGAGTCCTGTAATACTGACCTGTGCAAGCATGTTGTTTTCATCTACCCACTTCTGCCTGGAGGAGGGCAAAGACAGCCTTTTTTGGGGGTTGTGTTTTTTTTTTTGCATGCACATCCAACAAAATAGGCACTTTGAATTCAGACAACAGTCATTTCACACCACATTCAAGATATTTAGAAGAGGTGTAAAGCTTGAGCCTCTATCCTACTCATATGATCTGTCTTCCAGCAGTATTAAGAATATATGCTATAACATCTACTCCTAAAACAACGCTTAGTACAGCAAGGCAGATCAGTCCAAGCTCTGTTCCCTAAACTAGTTTTCTACTCTTCTCTCCTGCCCCTTTTTAAAGTTGCCAGCACAAATACATATTAGCACTGATCCACCCATGTTTTTCCCAGCCTTTTCCTTCAACCAAGGGCTTCCCACACCAAGTCACGAGGACTTAAAACTCCTATAATAAATGCTGCAATAATCAAGAAATTAAGAGTTTTAGCATCTTCACTCAGAACTCAGGTACCAGCTTTTCTGAAGAGCTATAGGACAAGGCAGTCACTAAAAACTATCCATCCCCAAAAAAATGGAACTGGAATTTTTATGGCTTTATCTCACAGCATTTAAGAGACCTGGGCTGCCTGGTGACCATTCAGCCAGAAAGCCAAACCAATTCTCAGAGCACCTTAATTGGGCTTGCAGTTGTGGCATGGGGTGGAGGGCAGGGAGAAATCTACTCCAAGTCCCCTACTACAGCTGCTGAGAGACAAAGGAAGACTAGAGAGCCCACAGAGTCCCAGAATTTCAGGTTTGGTGCTCTCAACAGCAAGATCTAGAATTCCAACTACCCACAAAAAAAGTAAAATTATATTTCAGTCAAATGCAAAACAAGAAATGAGTTCAGGAAAATAGACATTAGTTCATAGCTGTTTTCCAAGCAGGTACCTTTCGTCTCCTTACGCTGCCTATTAAGAGATTTACCTTTTTCACCTATTTTACCTTTTCACAATGGCAAGACAATTCTGGAGCACAATAAACTGTCAAGCAATTACCAGTAGCAATTTGACCAGCATCCCATAACAATATGCAACCTCTGCATCATTGTAATATAACCGGATGTTCTCTTAATTTCAACACAAAACACTTGACTCTACTGAACTCCAAGAACTTGTCTTCAAATGCCTTTACACAAAACATTAACTACACCTATTTTAAAAATCAGGTTTAGAGCTATTCCTAACAAGTTTGGTTTTTTTTTTTTTTGCTTTGCAGCAGCATAGCACAACAACTCCATTTGGCCATTATTCTGGGACATGAAGCATCATTCATTACACCATAAGGACAGAAACTCACACCTCTGCTTTCAGGAACAAAAAGAAAGCCTCTGAACCAACACGTAAGCGTTGACAAACGTGGCAGAACAACATTTCTGCACCATTTACAAAGTACATCTGGAGGACTGACAGCATCAGTAAGAGAAGAGCCCTGATGTATTTTGCATTGCCTTGCTTTCACAGGTTTCTGCTTAGTTATGAACCTTCCTGAGAAGGTCAGAATAAAGGAAAACACAGATTTCTCTTTCTCTGTAGTAGACTATAATAACACGGACCATGCAGATAGCATCTTCTCATCCTGGCACTTAAGGTAGATGCATTTCTGAGGTAGTAGCCCTATGCCCTATTCCTAGTTTAACTGGCTACAACTTTTTTCCTATCCTTGCTCCTGTTTTGTTCCAAACTCAAGCCTTTTGCCAGTACAAGACTACTAGGAAGACATTATTCAGCTACAGCCCAGCACATACCGCCAGGACCTATGCAACATCTTCCAACTCTGAGGTATGTAATTTAAGGCTGAATCTCTCTCATCCTGGACTTGTCAATAGCTGGAATAATTTCTAAATAGCATTGCAGACAAGCAAGCTTTTCCATGTGATACCTCAAATAGAGTACAGCTTAAACAGGTAAGATGGCCACTGTTACAACCTAGGCTTTTTGCATTCTCCTCTTCATCCCCCAATGAAAGTATTTTAACTCTCAAGCATTTGAAATGGCAAGAGTTAACAGCTCTTCCCCAACTGTGGGATTTTTTTTCTTCCCCCTCTTTAAGGGGTTCAAAGCTAAGAGTCTATTAGTCTATCCTTTTTCAAGGGACACTGACATGTCAGGCCTTCAAGCCCACGAACAGCCAAGAGAGGTAGACGCTACTTCTAGTGCAAACCAGCATTTCCGTTTCCTGCCTTAACTCTCACTTCCATGCAGCTGTACGTTCTGTGTACCAAGTTTCACAGATCTCTGGTTCAGTATCCATCTCTCCATACTTCTAACAGTGTGAATAAAACACTGCTCCTGTAAATGCGTCCTCTTCCCAGAAACTGCATCCTTCTGAACAAACCGTAAAGTCTCACCTCCTGAAACCATCTTACTCTTTTCCATAGAAGCACCATTTCACAGGCAGCTCTCTGCACAGACAGGAAGATACACTAGAAATTCCTTCCTGGTGTCACATTTGGACTCTTGATTTTTCTAAAGAAAACTCCAACTGGGGAAAAATAAAATTTTGTAATGACCAACAGCATCCCATCTGGACTCAAGACGTATGTCAAAACCCTCAAAAAAATGACTTCAAGCTGCCCTCTGCAGGTAGCTTGATTCTGAAGGAGATATCCCGGATTCTCATAATTTGTCTCCCTTCTGCTTTAAGCTCCAAGTTGTAAAAGAACATTTTACATTCTTAGTTTCACAACTTCAGATCTACTAATTAAACTTAACTGCTGCCAACTTCCGGGCTTTTCAAAGACATCTCAATTACTACTAAGAAAACACCACTGAGACTGCTGACTTACGTGGGAGTGCAGTGTTACATCAAGTCACTGGCCACAATTGAACTAACAGGCAACAGGAGACAGCAGCACTAGAGGGAAAACATCTCTTTGAGAAACGCCAGCTTGGCAGACTCCCAGAAACATCTACGCTACTGTTTGGAATATAGTGATAGATCTTCATGCTTCTGTGCAACGCATAAATTATTATTTTCTCACTGACATGATTTAAATTAAAAAAGCTCTTGATTTAGTGGTGAGCAGATACACTTAACCACTCCAGGCGCTCTCGGCCTCCGAGAGCTTTGCTTGCACTCGATTTCCTTACAGCGCCACTGCACAAACAGTAGGAAAACTAGGTCAGGTAAAGGATAATAGCCAGAGGGGGTGGAGACATTTTACACGAGCCGTAAACCCCGAGTCATCCCTCCGCACACAACTCAATACGCAAGAGTGTGGCAGAGCACGTCACGCTGTCTGTGCAGCATTAGAGTCACCTCTACCACGTAGCTGACATGAACTTGGCACACACGAACTCTGTCTGTAAGTAAACCCTCATCATACTGCTTTTGATCCAAGATGAAGAGTTCATTCAGGAGAACCTGTTGTTTACTTGTACTGAGTGACATCTTCGGCTGCACCACATCTTCCAAAGTGCCATGAAACTGCAGGGCTGAGCTGCCTAGACACAGAACCTAACACCGACACCGTACATCAGTAACAGGATGAGTTTTTAACTTCAGAAACTCTAGCCACAGCTGCAGGACACCACACTAAGCAGAATCAACAGCAATTGCACTGAATACTGTCAAGACATCAGAGTTCTTCACTCACCTTTATTAAAAACCTGATTTTTCTTCTTTACTATACAAGCAAAAACTTTACAACAAGTTCAATTTGCAGATATTTTTTAGGTAGATCTACAATGTGAAATGATTAAGGTTTAAGCAGTCCAAAGCAAAAATTAAAGAATACAGTCACAATACTTGAAACCAAGCCGCATCTATGGATTCGAGGCGTTTCATACAGTCCATTAAACTTAAACCACTGAAGATACTTCCTGCCTGTATCAAAGTGTAACATATAACACACTTTAGCAGAATAGTCCCAAGAACCTCAGTTTTGAGTACCATATGGACAAGCAAGCCCTTGAAATTCACATGCACAACTCAGAGCAGCTAGCCAGAATTAATAAACTTGCTTATCTCTAACACTGTCAGACAAAGCTTCAGTGATTAGGTATCTTGTACGCTTCCTTTCTGTACCACTATCAGTTAAAGGAAAAATAAAAATCGGGCAGGATTACAAATAGATAAAACAGAATGAAAACAAAAACCCCAAAACCACAGTTTGGAGCAGGGAAAATATATAAATTAAAAAAAAAAATTAAGGGCCTAAAAAGAAAGATAAAAGATACTCTTATATAACCCAATTTCTTATATGACAGCAAAGTACAAATTAATTTTATATTTCAGGTGTAATACAAGCAGTTCTTGCTTTTTGCTCTAGTCCAGAACTACAGTTATAAAAATTAAATGAGCCTTTAATTATTAGGTTAAAGCAAACACTTTTTGATCCACCGGTGCATTTTGTTTACTTAAAAAAAGTCTCAAATAAGCTTTATTTTACTCACAAAAGAGTGCAGGGGAAGGCAGGAAGAAAGGGAAGTCTATGTTAAGATGTCAACTCACAAGGAGATTACTAGGAATAGTACCCTTTTCATCCTAGTTTGTTCATTATTACAACTCCTTGCCAATACAATATTAGCATTAGGTATGCCTTGCTCTCTGTTTTAGTGGAGCCATCTTCTATGGCCACACACCAACAACATACAGGGCTCACATCAGCTGAAGATGTCACACAGAATAAGAGTTCCAGTTACTTCACAGGCCAGTTAAAGAACATGGTTAAAAATCTTGGGAACACACAGATTAAAAACATGTTTTTCCCCCCTCTTAATACTAACTTTGGTTCTGCTCAGTAGAGAAAGCTTAAGAGTTCTATATATAACTTACTCTTGCTATTCTTGTCTTGATCAAACGCTCGTCTTCTACCTCATACTCAAGACATTCTCTATAGAGTTGCAGCATTTTGGGAATATCATGGCCCAGGGAATCTAATTTAAAAAAGAAAGGCAAAAAAGTTGTCTGAGTAATGCTTACTATCTTGGCTAAGTGTGATATTACTAAAGAGAATTCAACCTTTCAATTAAGTCAGTTAACTCCAATCAAAAATGCAGTTTCATGAACAGGACAATGGTGTCTCCACACATACAATATAAATTGTTTCTATCTTCCCTGCTTTCTCATTAACCAGCAGACATGAATAGCTAATACAGTAGGAAATACAACAAAGACTTCAACTTCAAATAAAGACCCTGTTTAGACATATACAAAACAAAGCTTTATTACCGAATGCAATTAAAGCAGCTTGAATGATCCAAAACCTACTGCTTTAGGTTTAGAACAAGCCCCAAGTCTTCCTTGAAAATGAAGCCTACAACTACCAAGTAGCAAGGTTACACACCACCTGGCACACACTGGCCCAATCCAGCCATTCCCACAAGTCAAGACAGCTGTTTCTTATCTCAGCTGCAAGGGCTCATTTGACAGATTTACAGCATCACTCAATTGCTTCAAATACAAGCATTACTTCTCCCACACACCTTCTGATGGCTCCCAGAGAACTCAGCCCTGGATAAGCTACAAACCAAGTAAGTTCATAATGGCATAATACAGCTTTCATTTGTTCTGAAAAAGTATCTGGAGTATTCTCTGTTGCAACGTTTTGGACAGGCTACTAGGTTTGTCTTAAATGTTCAGGAGCCTAAAGACACTGCCTGCAGCTTGTAAAACATTATGACAGCTGAGGCAGGGAAGTAAGGGATATGGGTCAAGACTCAGTGCTTCACACAGCTGGCACAGGCTCTATGTTTGAAAAACAGACTTTTTTTTCATATTTGAAATAGACCCTTGACACATAGTTAAAAATAAAGTAAGTCAGCAAGAGAGAACAAAAGTACTGACAGACTGATGTTTGTTGCTGTGAAAACCTGACCTGAAGAGGAAGTGTCTTGAGCATTATGAAGGAGAGACCACACAGATAAAGGAGCAGGCTGTACTAAGGAAAAATATAAGTAACTCCGTTGTTGAGGAGTAATGAACAGACAGAAGGAGTTGGGTGGGATCTAAACAACTGCACAACAGAACTCTCTCAGCAAATATGTTTTTTTCAAGTTGTTTCTGTTTTCCTGGGTAACTTCACTATTATGGTTCATCAGGACTAACAAGCATGGGGCAACCAGTAGGCAAACTTATATTGATTCTAATCCCGCATTTGCCTGTTGTAGGAGGAAAGCACCGTTCTAGATTCCTAAAAACTACTCTTATCTAAGACAAACCACTGTATGTGGTTCAGTCACATACAGCCTAACACTCAGCATAATTACACATCCTCATCAAAAAAGTTTCAGTGTCACCTGAATCTTGTTTAGTACTTGAGACTTGTAAGAAAGAATTGCTTCTTACTTCTTTTTGTGCTTGGGTATTTTCGTCTTAGTTTGTTCCTTAACGGTATTAGCTTAGGCATTATTGCAGGAACAGCTACATAGAAGTCCACTTGAATTTCATCTTCCAAAATCTGCAATAAAAGCAATTAAATATATTTAGAAATCCAGTAAGTTACCTCAGTACACAAGTTGACCTACAAGCATGTCCGAGCACAGAAACCCATCTTTCATTCTTCACATTGGCTGTTAACTTCAAGCTAGAGTTTACCCAACATGAGGTTTCTCAGCCCCACCCAGTCACTGTTTAAGTTAAAAAAAAAATTAAATACCCATTTGATTAATTCAACTCCTCCCACAACAGCAGCTCCATTCTCTCGAGCTATTTCAGCTTCTTGCTCATTCTGTTGAGAGGAAAAAAAAAAAATTTAGTCACATCTGTACTACCAATTCATCTATATCAACAGCACCGGATAGGTGATTTATCTTGGACAACTGGGTATAAAACCAGGCTATTTACAGGCCAAGAAGGAAAGAACAGTTTAAGGCAATCAAAGACCAAAAATATCTAATTGCTGGTGATTTAATATAGGAGCAGCAGCTCCACTTCACTCCACTCCAGGTCCCAGTAAGAAGTGATAGTCAAGTCTTTACCTGACTTCTCCTGGAGAAGAAAGAGAAAAACCCATCCCATTTGCTGCAGAGCTCTATCAAAAGCCCTTTCTCTCCCACCTCCATGCCCTGGAAACTACAACAAAGCATCCGCTGGATGGAGCCAACATCTTACTCTAAGCTTAATGAAAAGCACAGAACATGGTACTAAACCACTGTAAAATAAAGGCTATTCAACTCCTGAAAGCGCTATTAAACTTTGGCTTCAAAGAGCATTTAGAAGTTTATCTCATCTGTCCTCTGCAAGGTTTCACTTTTAATAGTCTGAAATACAGAAAGGTAAAAGGCATCAGTTTTATAAAAACTTTGGCTCAAGCTTTTGATACAAGCAGATATTCATTACTCAAAGCCATAATGAACATTTCCTCAGAAGAATAAACCGAATAGCTCCACACTTCCACCCAGAAGCACTAACAAGTGTTTCAATCGCTCAACCTTTTTGCACATACACAACCTTCACAAGACATGGGATCTCTTATCCCACATGAATTTGAGTGAAGAGAGAAGGTTGCGAGATGCAGCACCAAAGAACCTGGCATGCTTGGGTCTTTTGTCAGCCCTCCATTCTGTAGGAGGATTCTCACCTTGTAGCTCGGGTAGAGAATTTTACAAAAATTAAGACCAAAGGGTAGTCAATTAAATCTGTGCCAGTTCTCTAGGATAATCTCATACAGACATATGTAGGTCTGTTCTGTTAGAATTATTTACTGACAAAGGACAGCAGCAGAGGCTGAAACTAGTCTCATCTAGATGCTATAACTGCTCTCCACATCATTGTACATTAGTGAACTCCTAGGAGAGCAAAGGGTTTGGGGCAGACGGCTGTCTTTTAGGGTTTGAGGAAAAGTTACTTCCCCCTTGTCCCCAAAAGGTACCCTGTTACAACACAAATTACTGTGAGTAACAGCTGCTTCTAATCTACACTGCCTACTAAGGCTTAAGACAGCAGCGTGGGACATGGCTGCTACGCTAAATCATCTGCCTGCATTACAAAAAGGTGACAAAGGTTTTACTCTACAGATGATCTTTAATCATCTCTTCCTTCATTAAATCTATGCAGATGTTTACCCCCTAAGTGCACTGCTAGAATGATCTACATACATGTAAACCTATCAAGATGAAAGAAATCACGTAAGATTTTTTTAATACAGTAAGATGCTGCTGAAGACAAATCCTAGGCAGATTTACGAGTTCTGTAAAGCTTTCGCAGTCTTCTTGATAAAAGGTATAGTACTTGCATGGGAACTAGTTGTGTTGTAAGAGCATGCTAGCATATAAAGCAAGTAATTCAGGTTTACTCACCTCTGTGAAAACCAAGACCTTATTCGTTTCATCTGTAAAGCGATATGGAAGAAGAACAGTGCTTGCAAATGGATCCACTTTTTTCTAATAAGACAGACAAATATTAAAACAAACAAACAAAAAAGATGACTTAAGGGCAAGTTACACAATCATGTGGATCTGGTCTCCTAAATAGCAATCTTACCCACAATTTCCTTGCACAGAGGTCATAACAAACAAGCACGATGCGTAAGTTTTGACTGCTTGTTTTTTTTATGTCCAGTACATACTCAAATCTAAACTTAAGAGACATGAATTAACTATGCTGCAGTTTGTCCAAGAGAAAGGGGCTGGGATCAGCAACTTCAGTGTAGGATTGCTGCTAGGCTCAGGTGCAGTCAATAACAAACACTGAGGTGCTGTAGGTGCAGCTTATCTAAATGATGTTTCTGACGCAATGGTCAATGCAAACCATCAACAAGGGATACCTCTCTCACCAAGCCTTAAGAATACCACATAGCCTCCAGAAGCAGGAGCAAGAACTTCGCATTTCTTTAAGCATGAACTTATTTTCTAGCTCTAAGAGGTCCCTGGTATACCAAAGGGATATTTAATTATGCATGTGAAATAAACTCCAAAATGGCCTGTTTTCTACTTACAGGGCAAGCAGAAGGAGTTTTAGGGGAAGACTAAACCTTTAAATCAAAAACATCATAGGCAAACAAGTAATAACATACTTTCAAGGAACATTGCCAAAAAAAAAAGTCAGAACAAGGTGAAGGGCAGAGGCAGGAAGAAGCTTGTCTTTACACTTCTTCCTGTAACAATCAACCCAGAACAAAACACACATGATTTGGTAACACACCTTTAAGTGGAAAGCCTGAACAGATGTAAAGCTTAGTTTGATCAATTCTGTCTGGGCATGAATTTTAGTCACATAATAGCCTGTTTTCAAAATCTTTGATGGTGTTATCTTTACCTCAGAATTAGGAGAGATATTTAATAATTATACATGTACAAAGGCACAAAGCCACCTGCAAAAGCACAAATTATTCTGACAATCAGAGAAGCTGCAAGAGGCACTTGAGAAAACCAACAGCAGCATCTGCTCTGCACTTAAAACACAGCCTTCCCATGTTAAAAAGAAAAAAGTATCAGAAGTTGTATACGCTTCCAACCTACCTTCTTCTGTAGTGCCATATCTAGGAATACGTTAATATAGACATACTGTTGGGGGTGAGTGAAGTCCAGTTCCTGAAATTTCTTTAGCATACCCACAGCCTCTTCCACATCATAGGATGGCCGCTCATAATACCATGTCAAGTATACGTCATCCACAGGCTTGCTCATCAGTGGCCGCCTCCTAGGTACTTGTTTCTTTTTTGTTTCTTCCTGCTTGGTCTTTCGTGACCCTTTTTTTTCAGTTCTAAGACCAATAAAAAATATTGGTAGATCATCAGCAGAAGAGTTTGGCACATGTTCCAAGATAAGAAAGTAGATGCTGTCATGTGTCACTTATTAAGTAACAGTTAGTCAACAGGGAAGGTTCTACACAAAGACGAATGGCATCCCTAAATTAATCCCAGTTACTTGTCTCAGATGGCCAAGACAGAAATCAAATGTTCAGAAATCAAAAGCTCTGAAAGCACTTACACTCCTCAAACCACACAGCCACATTTGTGCAGCATGGAACCAAGTTAATGACCTCTTACTGTATCAAAACAAAACCAGTTTAGGATAACACACAAGCTTTTACAGGTCTTGCCTTCATGTGGGCTGGTAGCAGGCACTGCGCCCGAGCTGCTTCTAAATCGAGCAGATCCCACACACATTCCTTGTAATCAGGAGCTACATCTTGCAGTGTTGTTCTTATAGTAGATCATAGCAGTCCCACCTTTCAAAAAAGGTTTCTCCTCCCTTTCCTGCATCATTTTGCATGCAGTTAATAAACACTAGCCCCAATCCGTATTCTCCTACCTGTTTTCAAAGGCTCTCAAATCAAATTAAAGTAATAGATAGATATTCCATTTCTCTACTAACTATAGTGGAAGAGCCTGCAACACTTCAGAACACTTGCTGTACAGCACACTTCACTGTTCTGTACATAGAGATCATTTGACTTCTCCCACTTACACCATAATATTAGACTTAAAAGAGACAACAAATTAAAACAATAAAAAGCAACCTGAAGCAAGACTAGGAACTGTTTGAAGTAAATTCCATAAGCTCACCAGCTTTCATGCTGACAGTACTCCTTAAGCTGTAATCCAGCCATAACCTCCAAAAGCACACATCAAAAATATCAGGTAAGTCTTTCCCCGTAACTGTTACGTTCATCGTTACAAGAGTAACAGAAAACACTCCCTGCAAGTACAGCTTAGATCTTCTCTCTCCAGACTGTTTCTCTAGCGGCTTGCGGGATGCCACCAATACCAGCTCGGCTGTTAGAGCAACACTGCAGACACCGAAAACACCACACACCCCCCATCGCTCCCCGGACACCCGACG